GAAAGACTGGCAAGCAGAAGATCACGGGTTCGAATCTCACTTGGTGCACTTTGGATATTTTTGCTGTTTATTGTTACTAACTTTATTTTTCATTTTTCTAACCACAAAAATCATATTTTTTATTATTAAATTATTATTTTCGTATTTATTATATTTTAAAAATATTATTTTTTAATAAAATATTAATTTTATTTAAAAAATAGTCAAAGTACTTCATAAATAAATAAAATCTTTCCAGATCAATTTTGCTCTATATCAAATTTTGCACCTGGACACAAATATGTCCATATTCTTAATCTTGCTGGCCAAGATGAGAATTTGGGATTTGGGTGTTAGATACTTCCTTTTTTGGATTTTAACCTAATTTTTCCACTTATAAATATCCCTCAAAACTTATTAAGAATTCATTCGGAAATATCAAGAATTTCTCACAACAACTTTTAACAAACACTTTCTTTTCAAATTTTCTTCTCAATATTATTGGTGTTTGTTTTACTATTTGTTGACCGATAATTTCATATGAGACATCTTGATTATTTTTTTAATTGTTGTTGTTGTTTTATTTAACCATATAATGATATTTTCTCATAGTTTTCTTTCTTTGTAAAAAAACTAATATATATGCAGTATTTTGTTTTATCAACAATTTCACATATCCATAATTCATCAACAATTTTTCCATCAACCACACACAAATTGCACAACTATGTTTCGGTGAAGCTTCCACGCACCAACGCACGAAGTCCCTCCGGCAACCCTCCAATCGCGGCCACCATCACTATAAGTCTCTCCTTTTTTTTTTTTTCGGTTTTGATTGTGGGACATAGGTGTTTATTTTGTTACTATGAAGAAGAGAGATTTGCTTACTGTTATTTTTTCTGCAAAAGTTATGAACGAAAAAAAAGGGGCACAACCACCATTGGTTAGTGCTTTGAAAACTTGATGATAGCAATAGAGATAAAGTCGGGTGAAAGGTAATCTCAATTTCTTTCATTTGTTATTGCTATTTTATTTTTATTTTTTACACAAACTCTTGTTTAAATTAGGCTATAGATAAACAATCCCTTCATATTTAATTTACTAATCATTCTATTTAGTTATTTTATTATTCTAAAAAAGGATATAAAATATTAATTTCATTAATTGCTTAATTTAGTCTATAAAAAATGTCCAACACAAAAATGGGCCATTTTATTATTAGCTTTAGATTTGTTGATAAATAATTAATGTAGTTATATAATTATTAGGCTAATTAGATTTAATTGGTTATTATACTCTATTAACTTTTAATTAAAGAAATTAAAAAAATCAAACTTTTTAATTAAAATTCTACTTAATCTAAACCCCCCGCTAAATTGGACCAAGTTCAATTTCTGAACTTGGGCCCTTAATACCCCATTTGCATTTAGGGCCCAGTTCAATATCTGAACTTGGGTCTTTACTTGGCAGATCCTCCTATTTGACTACCTTGTTACAAAACGTATCCCTCGACCAATTTAGGCTCAAAATATCTTTGGGTCCAAATTTTCTTCTAATACACCGCTCAGTCTTAATATTCTCACCCCCGCGTGTTTTGGGTCCAGTTCAATATCTGAACTAGGGTCCTTCATCTTAACACCTCCAGATTAAGTTTTGCACCCCTTAACCTTAATTAATTAATTTATTATAATCCTTCTAATCTTCTACTTTTTTTTAATTATTATATATCGTATTTTTACATATTTGTATTAAATATAATTTTCGCATATTAATAAATAATTATTGGATATTTTTAATATTTGATATTTTTTTAATAATTAGAAAAGATAGTTAGTTATTAGCTTAAATATTTTTCTAAAACACTAACTCTATTTTTCTAAATTGCATTAATTATTTTTCTCGTCCAAACATATTTTTCTCATATCGCATCATACATCCTAAAATAGCTACCCAATCAAACACTAACAATTTTTCCACTAACATAACAAAATAAAAGATATTTTCATAAAAAGGATTAAGGAGAATTTCTTTGAAAATTATCTGCGAACTGCGTCAACAATCACTCACTTTTCAAAACCCAGACAAGGTTCAAGGATAAATTCGAAAGCAATTCTACGTGATCCTATAAAAAACACCAACCAAACTACGAACTACAAATTAGGACTTTGATTCCTTATAAGAGGATACGTAGGCATACGATCAAAAGTCATAGCGAGTTCCCTTATAAAAAAATTAAACTCTTTCTAATTAAAACTTAAAATCCTGTTTACCCCAAACCTAAACCTAGAACCTAATATCCTTGTGAATAAGGTAGATGAAAGGTGCCTAACACCTTCCTTTCGTCTAATTGAGTCCGAAACCTAGAATCTCTATCTGCAAATTAGGGTTTTCTGTTAGATTCCCTTCCCTAGGATAAAAACTAATAGTGGCGACTCTGATTTGAAAACCAGTCGCTACACCCAGCGGTCCTTTTACGTGAAGTACTTCTTCACTACATCTGTGTTGACAGGGCGAGGGAAATCCTCTCCATCCATAGTCATGAGCATCATAGATCCTCCTGAGAATACTTTCTTCACCACAATGGGTCCCTCATAATTAGGATCCCATTTGCCTCTAGCGTCTATATTGTTGGGAGGCAAGATCCTCTTCAGCACAAGATCACCAGCTTGAAAATTCCGCAGATATACCTTCTTGTTGAAAGCTTTCTTCATCCTCCTCTGGTATAGATGTCCATGGAAGATAGCTGCCAATCTCTTCTTGTTAATGAGATTCAGCTGGTCGAATCTATTTTGAACCCATTCAGCCTCGTCCAATCGTGCATCTGTCATTATCCTCAAAGAAGGGATTTCTACTTCCACTGGTAAGACTGCTTCCATGCCATAAACAAGCGAGAAAGGGGTTACCCCAGTCGAAGTGCGCATGGTGGTACGATAACCATGTAAAGAGAATGGCAGCATCTCACGCCAATCTTTATAGGTGATAACCAGTTTTTGCACAATCTTCTTAATGTTCTTGTTAGCTGCCTCAACCGCTCCATTCATCTTAGGACGGTAAGGGGAAGAATTATGGTGTTTTATCTTAATGTTTTTGCATAACTCTTTCATCATCTTATTATTGAGATTCAACCCATTGTCAGTAATAATCATCTCATGAACCCTGTATCGACAAACAATATTATACTTGATGAAACGAGTCACCACCTGCTTAGTGACGTTGGCATAAGATGCCGCTTTGACCCACTTGGTGAAGTATTCAATGGCCACTAGAATGAAATGGTGCCCGTTAGAAGCAGTTGGTTCGATCTGACCAATCATATCGATTCCCCATATTGCAAAGGGCCAAGGTGAAGTCAAGACATTCAGAGGATTGCGAGGCACATGCATCTTATCAGCATAAATCTGACACTTGTAACAGATCCTGGAATGATTGTAACAATCGTTTTCCATAGTTGACCAATAATAACCTACCCTCAAGATTTTCTTGGCCATAGTGTATCCGCTAGAATGCGTTCCAAAGGATCCTTCGTGTATTTATTCTATGATCTTATTTGTTTTGTGTCTATCCACACATATGAGCAAAACGGAATCATAGTTCGTCTTGTACAGGAAATCCCCGTCGAGGAAAAACTTGGCTGCATATTTCTGCAGAGTCTTATTATCCGTGACAGAAGTGCCTTCAGGGTATTCTTGTGTCTTAAGATATCTCTTGATATCATAAAACCACAGTTTCTCATCACCAGCATCCTCTTCTATTTCATAGCAAAACACTGACTCATCCAACTTTAAAATGGCAATAGAGGGGGCTTCATTTGCCCATCTAACTTTAAACATGGATGACAGAGTAGCCAAGGTGTCTGTGTCATACCCCAATTTTTGACCTAAGATCCCTGCTTCATTTGCATTATTTTTCATACACATCAAGGTCACAGAATATGGTAGGTTTCGAACGTTTCACTGTCAAGCTTTGACTGTGTAGAGATTACCGAGTGTTGTGAGCATTTTATCTTATGAATGACTAACCACTAATCATGCACGAAGTGTATGTTTTGCTATTTTATTTTCATGTGCAGAAAACAGGCCTGAAAGAAGAGCATCATATGTTGTACGTCGATCAGGATTTCGGGTCTCAGGACAGAAATGCTGTCGTTCGTTATTTTCCAAAAGACTGGTTCATCAAAGAATTTTAGAGAATTGTGCGTTTATTTCCATATTCTGTCCAGTAAATGGTCTCCGTTTTCTCCGAATATTTTTCAGGAAGAACAGTCAAAATTCTACCGACTTTGGTTCATGTGTGTTTCACATTGTTCTAAAATACAAGAAAAACAGGTCATACCGTCATTTTCGATTTCTTGGACCAAAAGTCATCTGCAAATTTTCTCACCACGCGGATTGAATTTCGCCGAAATGAGATAATTAAATTCAAAACTGTTCTAGAAGAATTTATTCGGAATATTCGGAATATTTGGAATTTTCTTTATTTGAATCCAAGTGATAATTAAAGAGGAGCTATTCAAGAGATTTCATTCAAGAATATTCATTTATCACATGGAATATTTATTCAAGATTATTTTTGTGATTATTTTGGGAGATCTACATCATGGTTATTTGAATACATGAAGCATTATTTCAAGAAGTTAGTGGGGAATTCTATTTAATTACATGAGGAATTTTATTTGATTACAAAATTAATCCATGTGATTTATTTGGATTTCTATTACAAAAGTGCAAGATTAAAGTCCAAGACTTGCATTATTATCTATTCTTCATTCAACAATTCATCCAAGTATTATTCAATTATTTCCCAAATTTAAATGGAAGATCTTGAATTTTTATCAAGATATATCAAGATTCATGTTTATATGAAGATTCAAGATTGTTCATAATTATCAAAGGAAGTGGAAATATATTGAAGAATGCATATTTATTCATGTTACAATTTATTGGAGTTTATTACAAGGTTTCAAAGAAGCTACAAGTGTGTACAAATGTATTTTCAACACTAAAAAAAATTCAGCAAAGTTGCTAATGCACTCCACTTTGCAACCCATCTTCAAGCCCAATTTTGTTGTATTTTTGTTGGTTAACAATTCTCCAAACAGCCTGAAAAAAACAGCAAAGAGAGATGTTGTAAAATGCTAAAAAACAGTAAAAAAACAGCAACATACAACAACTCCAAGTGCTGCCAAAATCTGCTCCAACCTGCATCAAAGTAGCAGCAGTTTGCATCAAAATGGCTAAAATAAATGGTAGGAACAAAGCATAGAAACAGCTTGCCAAAACAGTTCAAATTTCTACTGTTTTTCCCCCTCAAATCCCACACACTCCACTATAAATAAGAGCCTTTGTCAACATAAAAGGCAAGGAGAAAGAAAAAATTCAGCAGTTGAAGAAAACAGAAAAATTGGCGTTGTTCTAAAACAAATTCAGCAAGTAAGAAAAACAGAAAAATAGAGTCTTTGTTCTAAAAATCCAGCAAGGAAGAAAGCATAAGCAAATTCAAGAAAACCCTACCATTTTTGTTAGAAGCCCCATCGGAGAGGCTCTGATAGGTATTATTCTTTTTCTCCTCTCTATCTACTGCTGCATATATTCATGCTTGAATCAGTTGTTGTACCATTTTTTCTTTGCCATACAATATTTGCCTTATCATTCTTTTCTTTGTTGTACTGTATTTGAATTGGGTTGCTGCATGATTGTTAGCATTTAAACATGTTAGTATTCATAATATCGGTAATAATAACAAGTGTAATAAAAAGCTTACTTCTTCCGTCGCGTAATACCGATTTATCGCTTGCTGTCCCAAAAACTAGTATAGAACTTGCTGTCCCAAAAACATGTTGTCCATTTGCTGTTACAAAATAAAAAAACACCTTTTCTGTCCAAAACACCCTTGCTGTCCAAAAATATTTGTTATCCATTTTGCTGTTACAAAACCTTAAAATTCAAAAAAACACTTACTGTTACAAAAAATCCAAAACACACAAGCTTGCTGTACCAAAAATCTTTATACCGACATGAAATCTGTCAAACGCCACAATACGTTAGCAATAAGTTTTTATTCCAACATCTCCTTTATTCTCTGCTGTGGTCTCTTAAAAAAAATCGTTTGTTAATAAATATTAATGCTATGATAAAATAACTTTTAATACTTACTATTTTGTTATCAATATTCAAAGAAGAACCCGGCCCCTGTAAACCAATAGTTTCGAACTCACCTCCTCAAATCCCCATTCCTCTCTAAAACCACCCACAGATCCAAAGCACAGTGCCACCAAAACAGCATGGCAGTATCTACATTTTTTAACTTCCTTTTCCCACCCCCACCTTCTCGTTTCGTCACCGTCGTGTCTGTTATAAGCATCTCTTCACTCGTTAACGCCGGTTTCAGCGAAGTTAGAGGAAAGCACATGAGTTACTCCAAATTTTGGAACGTTAATAACGATAATGCGACTAGGAAAAAGCAGCAAGTGATTGTCGAGTAGAACTGGTTATAAGGATTCAGTCGCGATTCGTGGCCGTGAGCGACCGACAGTGTAAGGCAGAGGGAAGGATGCGTTCGTTGGTGTTTCAAGCGTGTAAGGATCTCTGGCCGAGGTAGATCTGTGTCGGCACTGGAGGTTATCCGCGGTTGGCAGCAACGGTGATTAGGTCTTTCCTCTTCTTCAGAATTTTCTTCTGCTTTTAAATTCTTGTTCTTCTCCCTCTGTTTATTTCTTGGCTTTTTGGTGCAATTTTTGTTTTCACTAGCAAACTTTGGTTGTGTTGTTGTTTAGAAGACAAAGTTTTCATGATATATGTGGTAATGGTGTTAACTTGGTTTATGTGAGAAGAGGATTAAGCTTTTGTGGTTTTTTTTCTTAGTGTGAGATGAAGAAGGATTTGACATTTGGAATAAAGAGAGAAGTGATTCCATGAAAGAGAGTATAACGTTGTTTTGTTTTAGAAGTTCACTTTACTGGTTTTTTTTTGGTTCTTTTATTAAATATTAATAATAAAATCTATGCTTTTCCTATTCCCCATAAAAGCAGTAAAACATAATTAACTTTTTTTCTTTTCCCCATGCCAGCGCCGCGCCCCTTTCTTTAGTACATTAGGGTTACTTTTTTTTGTTTCTTCCTCATGACCCGGTTGGCCCATTGGGCTTCTGTTTTGGGTCCAGTTTCAATATTAATTCTTCTCCTTATGTTTTAATTAACTCGTGCTAATAAATGAATAACAACTTAGTTTAATTGGCAAAGTGTATTAACAACAATCTAAAGGACCTGAGTTCAATTCCTTGTTGGGTCATTTTTCTGTCTTTTTTTCTTTTAGCCATATTTTCCTTTTATTTAAATATACTTGATTATATATATTAATTTACTTTGCTGTATAATTATTAATTATTATAAAAACACATAAAAAATATGCTTAATTAAAATTCATCTTTTATTTAATTTTTGTCAACATACTATTTAATTCTTATTTTTATTTTGTGTTGTTGTTTATTTAATTATTCAAAAATATATGTTTCATGATTTAATTTTTTGTTATGTGTTTAATTATTTAAAATCTATGATTTCGTAATTTAATCTTCATGTACTTTTGATTATTTATTTAATCATTAAAATGCATGCTAGTATATTTTAAATTTCATTAGTTAATTGTTCAATTGTAATTTTAATTAATCGATCGTTAATCCGCATATCTTTCGTCCGTCTCAATCCAAGGGAATTGTTTAATTTTTGTCGACTTCATGTCAACAAACACATTGTGCGAATACCCTCATTCATCATTCGTCTATTATTTTGTTAAAAAACTTAAGATAATTTTCCCAAATGTCCAATTTTTCAAAACTCATACCTTTTAAGTCAAAACTTCGACATTAGGTCGTCGTATCTTCAAAAACTCGTCCATACCCATTTTTGGCCAAACAATTTATTTTTTTAATTAAACTAACATTTTTTTTATAAACAGATATTTCAAAAGGTTCCTATAGAATACTATAGATACATTGGGTGCTAATACCTTCCCATTGTATAACCAACCCCCGAACTCTAGACCTCTTTTCAAAATGCCTTGTATTTTCATTAATTTTAAAGTATTATTTTACATTGCATATTTTAGGGTTTTATTTTGCTCTTTCCCCTTTTCCCTTGGAAATAATAAAGCGCGGTGGCGACTCTTGCTTTTGTGAGACGATTTAATTAATAGCTCGATCTTCGATTTACTCCGCTACATTTTTTATCGCTACAGAAATGGCGACTCTGCTGGGGAGAGATTGACCTCTTGCTGGTCCATCTCTAAGTGGGTTAAGCCTAGTTTGTTTTATCTGTTTTATTATTATTTGATTTGTTTGATTATGTGTTTATATTGGGGTTGTTTGGGTTTTTTGCAAAGGACGAATCTTATACCCGGATTAAGTTACACTTAAGAATAGGACGGGCGGTATAGTCATGTTAACTTTGAGGGAGTAATCCCAAAGAAGGAGGCATGAAATCCCCCACTCAGTGGAAGGCCCTTTTGAACGTAGTATTTGTTCACCGAGTAATCGGGAAGACATTATTATTTTCAACCTGGGAGCCAAAGAAGCTGAGAACTGTAGAACCCTAACCCATCTTGTCCTTTTAGGTGTAGCGCGGAGACTATAACGGAGTAATCAGAAAGTAGTTGTCACGCGATGCTACGCTCAGATGAGTTTCTCTTGAGAATATTGCTAATTATTGAGTAATCAAGACGTTGGTAATATCCGAAGGAGGAATGTAGACTCTGGGAACTTTTTAGAACCTTGTCTTGCAGGTGTGATTAAACTTTTAGTACATACCCTGGGGTGGGCTTTACCCTTGACTCCATGCTCGAAGCGTTGAACCTTTGAACCCCATATTTGTGAACTTGTGTGTAACTGTTGCATTATCATTCATCCATACATCCATAAACATTTTTTATGAAAACTTGTTTTTCAAGGAACTTCAGAATGATTTTTGTAGACATCTCATGTACTGTTATTATGGAGTTTGGAAGAAGAAACACTCGAAGTTATAGTTTTAAGGAGCCCGAGATAGAAGAGCTGAAGAGTTTGATTCCTAAGATCGAGAACCCGATGGAGTTTCAGAAGAAATATGGGTCCATTATACCTCTCATGAAGCGCAAGATGAAGGAAGGCATCCTAAGTACATTGGTCCAATTCTACGATCCTTTGTATCGATGCTTCACCTTTCCGGATTACCAGTTAATGCCCACCTTAGAAGAGTACTCCTACATACTTGGTTTGCCGGTCATCGACTGTGTTCCTTTTTCTGGCTTAGAAGAGGAACCTAAATCTCACGAGATAGCGACCATCACCCACTTGAGGAAGTCAGAGATAGATGAGAACATGATTACCAAAGGGGGAATCCGAGGCTTATCCGCGCAATTTTTATTAAAGAAAGCTCGTCATTTCGATGAGATAAAAGATACTGTTGCCTTTGAAGACGTTTTTGCTTTACTCGCTTATGGCCTATTCTTGTTCCCTAACGTTGATAAGTTTGTGGATATCAACACCATCAAAATTTTCTTGATTGGAAATCCTGTCCCTACGTTGCTAGGAGATACCTACTACTCCATCCATCTTCAAAATTCTTATCAAAGAGGGATGATTATTTGTTGTGCATCGTTGCTGTATCAGTTGTATGTTTCTCATCTACCTAGGTCTGATGTTTTCTGGGATCTCGAGAAGGAGCCGCGATGGGCGCCAAAAATTATGGCTCTCACTCATTTTGATATTGATTGGTATAATCAAGCTTACTATGACGTGAAAATCATCGATATCTGTGGTGCTTTTCCTAACGTGCCTCTTCTTGGTACGAAAGGAGGAATTAACTATAATCCTGTTCTCGCGCACCGTCAGTTTGGATACCCGATGAGGGACAAGCCGAACAACATCCATGTGAGTGGTTTATTTCTACAAGAAGGACAAGATCACCAAGCAGCTAAGAAGGAGATCGAAGGAGCTTGGTGTCACATCCATAGAAAAGGGAGAGACATGTTAGGACAGAGAGGTGCTGTTTCTTTGGAGCCTTACCTACAATGGGTTCGTGCTAGGGCTTGTGCTCTCAAGATGCCCTATAACCTCGAGAAAAATTTATTCCCTACTATTGCATCATCATCTATTGATATCCCTATCGAGAACATGGGAGAATACCAAGGAAATCTGGCTAGGATGAAGTCCGAGAGAGATGCTTGGAAAGAAAAGTATAATATGTCTGAATATGAGAATAGGGTCCTGACTCGACAGCTAAAGGAAAAGGAGGATTTGCTATTTATTCAAGATGGCTGGTTCATCGATCATGATGAGAAGCTTCGTCAAAAGGATGCTTTACTCAAGAAGTATGCAAGTGAAAGGAAGAGAAAGAAGGAAGATTCCGTAAGCGTTGCTCTTGTTCCTAATCCACAAAAGGAAATCATTGATCGTCTGGTAGCTGAGAAGAAAGAGTTGGAAGACTTTTATGAAGAGAAGATTAGGAAGCTCCATTTATAGTTGGCATTTGGTCCTTCATCTGATGATTCTGAGTGATCTTTAGTTCTTAGTTTTATTTTTACTGATGTCATTTTGTAAAACTCTGTAAAAGGGCTTCATGTTCCAAAGTTGTAATTTACTTCTTTTATTATTGGGTTGTTGTCCCAAAGTTGTAATTTATTGCTTTTATTATTGGGTTGTTGTCCCAAAGTTGTAATTTATTGCTTTTATTATTGGGTTGTTGTCCCAAAGTTGTAATTTATTTATTTTGTTGTTCCAAAGTTGTAAGTTGTAATTTAACGCTTTTGATTAATGAAATGAGTTTTTGGTATTCCAAATTCCTTTACCATTGATGTGTGCAAAATTATCGAAGTTCCTTGAAAAAACTATCAAAATGAATAATCATTTGCATCGCATATCATGCATCATCCAACATTCTACTTCACATGTTTTCTAGAGTCTTATCCTTATTTCTTTTTCCACTCTGATAGTTTGTCAAGCTGTCTCATCGGTACGATACCCGAGCCAATCATCAGAGGAAGATGGAAGATCTGGAATAAGAAAACCATGAGCTTCGCGAGGAGGTTGCTACCCTTCGTGTCGGAATGGAAAAATTAACTGCGCTAGTGGAGAGTTTGATGGCTGTTCAGAATTAGCTATCGACTGCAGCTGCTGAGATTCAGGCTTCAACTACTGTGGTTTCTGAGATTGTCACCGTTCCAACATCTGTGACTCAAGTCAACTCTCCGCTTCAACATCAGATGCCGAAAGGTTTTCCATGGGGAATGCCTTATAACTTCATGCCAGAAGGGTATCATCCTGTCGTACAACCTTTGGTTTAACCTACTGTGTCCTTTCCTCAACCAGAGACAACTACTGTGCCGCCTGTAATTCCGCCTGTGGCACCTTTCCCTCAACCAGTGATGACAATTGCCGCT